AACGAAGGTGTGCTGAGGGGAGCGAGCCACAGACAGCAAAAATAAATAAGGAGGCAGGTGACAAACTGCACTGACGCCCTGTCCCAGAGAAGGCCGCTCCCCTGCCTCTTCCTTCCACCAGCGAGCGAGAGAGAAGCCAGCTAGCTCTCTGCACGCGACCCCCTTCCCAAGCAAAAGCAGCAGGGCAAGGATTAACTGTGCCAGCTGGATGAACGAACTTGCATTAAGTTAATACAAAAAATTCTACAAGTCCAGGACATGTTTCCCTCTTTCCTAGGTCTGCCCCAGTGAGTGAGTGTGTCATGGACACTTTGGCAAAGCAGACACTTGGGCTGGACAGGGCAGCAGGGGAAAACGCCAGCTCTGCCCCTTCCTTCTCCATCCCTTTATCCTACGGTTCAGAGAAACCTTCTGCTTACAGCCCCGGTGTTGGCAAGCTCCTGTTCACACCCTGTGCGTCAGAGGCTCGGACGCTCGCAGTAGGGACAGTTCCCGTGCACGGCCACTTGCCAAGCTTTACTGGTAGCGGGGACAATACAGGTCCTTCCTCCGGCTGCCCGTTGCCTGTGTTTCTTCTCCAGGTTCCCTTTCATCCTCCAAAGGCAGAAGGGTTTCAAAATAACAGAGTCAGACAACAAAGTGCTGCTGCTGTTTTTCTTTTTCCCTGGTCCACTGGATAATTGACCCATCGATCTGACGTGATGCTTCCTTGTGCCTTCATCAAGAGCAAAGACGTTTCAAGTCCTCTTTTTCCTCTCAGAGCACCAAATCCACACCCAACGAAGAGCGCGCAACTCACGGCTCTTGGCCGCCCTTACTTCACTTCCAGGATGGAGGGGTTTGTCTCCATGATGGCCACGATGATCCTGTCAATGTAATCCTGCAGGCGGAAGTTGATCTCTTCTTGTTTTTGAATTGCTTCCATGAGCTGCAAGTGGGAGAGAAAGGCAGCAAGTGGTCACCGACAGCCGCTGTCCAGGGACCGAAACATTTTCTTGCTGCTCAGTGCACTGAACTGCACCCATGGCAGCAGGGGCCACAACCAGCACACAAAGACATACTGGACTGAAGAGATTTTCCTTTTTTTTTTTTTTTTAAAGCTTGGATTGCTCCTGGTCAGGTACGACAGCGTTTCAGGGAGCGACTGGTGGGACTGCATTGAGTCTTGTGAGCTCCTTAACGCCCAGACTAACTCCCTGCTTCTGTGGGAGTCTCTCAGCTCTGACTAGTCTCCCCACGACGGATGATCCTATATCCCAAGCTTTCCAAGCCACACCATGCATTTGGGGGCTCAGATGCAAAAGCCAGAGGCAGCTCCCAGACTCCCATGTTAGAGCAGCATGTTGTGGTACCCCTGAAGCTCACCTCAGCCTTTCCCTCCTCTTAAGGGGGCTCTGGCCCAACAGCATGAGGAGATGCCCTCAGCTACTGGCCCAGCTCTTAACTCTCCTATCCTTTCTCAAGTTCCCAGCCAGATGGGAGCCTGGAGAAATCAGGGCACCTCACATTTCCATCTGGCCCACAAAATATCCATGTGCATTTTCCCCAACACATTTCTCATGATCTGAAAGATTTAATTCTGATACTTATGCTCTCACACCACTATCTGGGTACAACTACTGGAGCAGGGAGAACATGCATCAGAGTAGGAGGCAGGAACCAATATCCTTGGGATAGATCACAACTAAACACACACACACACACACACACACCCTGCTCTCTGAACTGTCCCAGGAAGAGGAATACTGCCACAGGGTGGGCAAAGGGCAATGACAACATGGCCCTCCAATGAGAGGACTTCCAGCAAACTGGAAGGGCATAGCTTCCCCTACTCCCAGAAACAGGGACTGGCAAGCAGGTTACATCCTGAAAACTCTTTAAAAAGTTGCATGGATATTTCTTTGCTCGTGCCAGCTTTCAAGTGACTTTTGGGAGTGAGCTGCACTTACAAGGCAGGGCTCCTCCCAGGCCCTCTGTACATTGACGGGAGGTTAAACACACCAGCCACCCCAGAGAAGATGTGGTCTGAAGTAAGCAATTCCCTTGCAGCAAGTACCTCGTCTCTGGAGACGGAGCTGATCTCTGCAGCCAAGGACTCTGAGAAGGAGGCTGAGAAGAGGTTCTTGGCTCCCTGGATGCTCAAGTTAATGATCTGTCCATTCAGTTCATCGTTCTGCTCCTTCAGGTTCCTGTTATCCTGTTCATAACAGATTCATTCATTCGTCAGATGCTGCCAAAGCACGTGGTGCCCCTGAAGCAGATCGTTCAACCCTGACTGCACAGCTGGGGAAGGCAGAGGCTCTCATTCCACACAAGCAGCTAACAGCAGTAGGCAGACAGTCCAACTTGGCAGAACCTTGAGAACCTCTAGAAACATGAGGTGTCCTGGAGACCTCAAGGGGCTCTAGAGACATGACATCCTTTAGAGGAAGAAAGCTACCTCTCCTGTCCCAAAGCCACGCGCAGCCAGCTACAGAAGACAGACTCCTGCACAGGAGCCTTATGTGGCCTGATCTGCTTGTGAAGGCTGCAGAAGGCACGACCAACTCATGAGCAGCTTCCAGGTCAGAAGCCCTTAGTAGCCACGACTGGTGCCGAACTTGTGCCAGGTACCCTCCTGCTCTATTCGTCCTTCCCCAGTGCAAAGCCTCAGCAACAGGAGCAGTCCCCTGTCACTTACCAGCAGCTGGGAAGACCAAAGGGAACAAGCACACTTGCCCTGCTTCCCATACCCCATCGCTAGGGCAGGCACTGGGTTGCCAAATCCAGCGCCAGCCCTTTGGGAGGCTGAGCAACCAGCAGGGGTGGCAGTCCTAGGTCTGTCAGGGAACCTGCATCCCGTTTTGCAAGTCAAGCAGTCAATACGTTTCCCTCCCTGCCCAGCCCCAGATACCTGCTTGAGCTGCCTGATCTCTTGCTCCAGCTCCGTCTCCCGCGTCCTGTTGTTGTACTCCTGGAGCCCCATGCTGCTGCTCCTGCCTCTTCGCTGCTCAGCTTCCAGCTTGAAGAGCTGCAAGTGCTCAAGCTGCTTCCGGAGGTCCTCGATGAGCTGCATCAAAGGAAGAGGACAACTGCCTGAGCACCACATCCCCCGCAAGTCCAACAGCTTGCACTGGTCACTGCTGCTGCAATACATTGTTGTCTCCTAGCTAGGAGCAACCCCATCAATTGCTGCGGCAGGATTAACAGACCCCTTCTGGGAGGCACATGGCTTCCCCTCTTCCCCAGCAAACAGGAGAAGGGGAGCTACTCAAAAATGTGAAAGCAGCCCCAGCCCCTGGAAGGACTCTGTCAGAGCACCAAAGACGCCGGCTCCAAGTCAGCAGAAGGACATAGAGGCCCTCCCAGCAACGCGAGCATTTGCTCTGGCAGCTCCCATGGCTCTGATCTCCCTCCTGCCACAACAGGAAGCCTTGGCTGGGGAAAAAGTGCCATGAATGCCTGTCACACCTGAGTGCTCTCAGCCTCATCAAAAATGACTCTGATTTCCCCTTTGAGGCCTAAATTTCCTTTCCTACAGCAATGGCAAGTGCTAGCTGAGCCTCTAGCTGGAATTCCCAACTACACAGGCCCCTGGAAGGGGTATCTGTGCCCCCCGCCCCCTGAGTACACAGGAGCTGGGAGCTCTGCCAGCACGCAAACTGCTGCAGCCTCTAAGCTGGCAGCTCTCACCCAAGCAGCCTCGCTTCCCCACCCTCCCTCCCTCTGCTAATGCTTGCTAGTGCCACACACCATCATCCCTATGCTTCTGCCACAGCTCCTTTGAAGCAGGAGAGAAAGGGATGCTGTGGGGAAGAGGCCAGGAAGGTACAGCCTGACTGGGTTCGCAGATGCAGATGGACACACTCAGCTGAATTTAATGCAGGCAAAAGCAAGAAGTGACAGATGTTACACAGTGAAGGTGCTGTACTCTCTCTCTGCGCCCCGGCAGGACCAAATGCTTGAGCTGTACCGATCTCTGGAGAGGCTGGCTCCTCCCAGGCTGGGTGTGTGGCACCCCTGTCTGGGTGGACCAGCTGGGCACCTTGTGACAGGCAGAAGGAGCACCGTACGCTTCTCACCTCCTGGGTAGACTCCTTCTCCTTCTGAAACTGGTGTCTCTCCTGATTCAGCTTGTCCCCCATCTTCCTCTTGTTCTCCTGCTCATCTGTGAGCTGGACCGTAAGGTCTTCGATCTCATCCAGCAACTTCTGCTTCTCCTGTAACGACATGAAGCACAACAGTCACAAGCCCCGTCTCCAGCGCTGCCAGGACTCTTCCTATTTGCTCAAGGACACTACACACACCGAACACCACGAGGAATGCTCTTCTCACTGACGTATTTGGATGCTCTGCCTGCTGTGACTTCATTTGCTGTCTGAGGACTTCAGGGCCCGAGTGTTTTGGCAGCAGTGAGAAGAGCCACACACCAAAATAGCACCATTAGAGAGTAAGATAGTAAGAGATGATCAAGAATAAATCCAGCAGCAATACCCATATAGGCAAATACCTGCACTTGTGCAGCTTCTGGCAGCTTAGTGCTGGTATAGGACATTGCTTGGGCAGGAAGGGGCCAAGGGCCAATGTAGGGGCTACCTCCACCCCAAACACAAACCTTTCTAAAAGCCAGAAACACCAAAAAGACACCAGACCTAATGCTGGTGCCCAAATGGCCCATGCCATAAAGAGATCAGAAACACCTCTGAAGGAGAGCTCCAACTCCCCAGGTAGGTGCTGTGTCTTGGGTGCTCTGGTCTACGCAGTGCGGGGCCAACAGCACTCCACAAGCATGAAATGCAATGTTAACAACAAAATCCCAATTTCAGACAACAGGCAAGATATCACTTTATCAGCAGGGGTTTCTCTTCTCAGCAGGGAGGAGCAGTAATTGCACCTCTCACTGCTCATTAACCACATTAACTGCAGAGAAAAGCAGCACTACTCTACAGAGAGATGAAGGACCGAAACAAACTTCACACGGCTGAACACACCTAGGCAGGAAATACGTCCTCAGGCCCCACGCTGCCTCCCAAGCCTGGCGCTGGAACCTGGGGCTTTCCAATTACTTGTACAGAGCTTTTCATACGCATAGCCTCAATGTACTTTGCTTACAAGGTCCTGACAGATGAGGTTGTACCGCTGCGTCAGGCGGAAGACTGGGCTGACAATGGTCTCCTGCAGGCTCACAGGCTATGAAGGGATGAAATACTTGAAGGCCTTAAGCTGGGCAGGATGGAGATTTGATTTCATGTAAATTTTAATCCTAAATTTGTGAGAAACTTGAACAGTACTTTGATATCACCTCTGTACCAATGTTATATATGCACCCCTCTTCACTCTCCAAAAACAACGATCTTGTCCAGCTCTACGGGGACTCTGTTACCCTGGTGAGCCTCCCACCTTGGCCCCATTAACAGATGCCTAGTCCTGCATCCCAGGTGCAGGGAGAAGATCTCGGAGATACCCCAGTGCTTTGAAGACTCAATGCGCAAGTCCCAGCGATGGCAGATCTACACGGGCAGGAAAGGGAGATGGACATGCCCGCTCCCTTATCTCCCTTCTGAAAGCCATGCTCTTGCAGCTGACGGCCCCACGCCCTGCTCCGGGAGGCAGTTGTTTGGGAATGGGACAAGCCTCCACAAGAGGGCACGAGCACCTTCACAAGCAGCACGGAAAGCACTACCCAGCCCCGCTGGATGCCGCTGGCTGCTCCAGCGGCCTACGCTACAGCAAGCAGAGCAAACTGGGGCTCCGCTTTACACAGGCTGCACCATTGCCGAGGGGTTTCTGGAGGGTTTTGTCAATCAGCCTCCAAGCCAAACACTATGCATTTACAGTATTAAGGAATAGCTCTGGTCCAAGGTTCAGTTTACAAGGCCTGGAAGACAGAAGAGGCTCTGAAAGGATTTGCTTGTTACATAAATCAGATTTTGCATAGGCCCATCATACACCTGAGAAATTCAGCTTCAGCTACATGAGGTGACAGTGCAAACCCAGAAATATAGCTCTGGGACAAGCTTCCTAAATCACGGATCAGCCAAAGCACACAGCCCTAACAGAGGGCTGCAGGTGGGCAAAGCAGGACCTGCCAGGAGAGCAGCATCTGGAGAACCTAGCAGGTCCCAGCTCCAAAATGTTTGCAACAGGGTAATGTTGCAAAACATGGCTGCGACACACCTCTGAGGCATCTCCGGGGGCTGAGACAGACAGGGACCTCTTATACACACACACACACACGCGTGCGCACACACTGTCCTCACCTCCTCAAGTCTCTCAATGTTGGCTTTTAAACAAGGGACACAGGACCTCAGCTCGCTGTTCTCATCATCCAGTTGCTGCAGCCTGCAACAATACAGATGTGTAAAAAGAAAGAAAAGAAAAACTCCTCCAAACTTCCAAAAGGTAGGGGACTTAACTAAAACAGCACTAGGAATACCAGAACAGCATCTGCTGAAGGCAAGTTAGCAGTGATCTAGCTTTTCAAAGCAAACCCTTAGCCTTTCACTATTTCCACTTTGGTGAGGTAAGCGAGGGGTTCCACGCAGCCTCGGACGAGTCCTTCGTTTGATGCACGCCCTCCTCAAACAGATCTAACCCTATTCTTTCGGCCAAAAGCTTCATCAGCTCCCTCAGACTTTCAGCACTAGGCACCAAAGAGCAAACACATCGCCTAGGCAGAGTCAGAGCAACCAGGGGTTCAGAGAAGGCTTCAGCTTTGCATTCTCCAGCTAAAGCAGCGTCCATCTGTCATGGCAAGTGCCCTATTACAAAAGCCTGGTAAAAATACTGCCTTCATCTTTCATTTACAGCAAGGGCTTGGCAATAGCAGAAAAGATTCTGGAAAAGCAGCAAGAAAAAAAAAAATCAAAAAAACCTCTCAAACAAATGAAACATCTCCCATGCCACTCTTTTCTTAGGAAGCCAACAGGCTACGTGAAGCCAAGAGGCTATCTGGCCAGAACACTACCTGTATGATGATTCTGCCTTCCTGGGGCAGCTGGTAGGAGCTGGGACCTAGTTCTGCTCCAGTACCCCATTCTGCTCCTTCAGGAGCAAACAAACAAACCCCACATACAAACTTCAACCACACTACGTTCCTACAGTGATGCTTCCCTCATTCAAAGAGGGGAAATCCATTACCTCTAGACCTGCTTCTGCTTGACTCAGGTAAATTCCTATTGCAGTTTTGGCAGCAGGATGAGAAATTTGCCTGTTTACATGAAGGTGACTCATACCTGAGCATCAAATAGACTTCCATTGGTCGTTCATATGAACGAGTACACAAACGAACACCCTCTTCATGCGTACATTGCAGGGGCCACCCACAAACGGAGAAATGAGCTATATCTAAATTGGCTCAGTGAAATCCAAAGAAAGAGCCCAAGACTAGGCTCATGGAGGGGCCCGATCTCCTATTTCGGTACAAAGGTAAGGAAGGAAAAATAGCCAGAACTCAGGGTTCACCATGACTTCAGCTACAATTTTAACCAAGTTAAATTCACTTTCTACTGCATTTTGTCTCTCCAGAGGCCTCAGCTGCAAAGCATCACCATGCCCATGTAGTCCAGCAGACCTGCCACCACCCAGCCCTGCCCCAACCATACCTGGCCTGCAGGTTCTCAATCTCGATGCTCTTCTCTCTCTCCATTTTGCTCAACAGCTCCCTCTGCTTCTTGATCTCCTCCAGGAGTGTTTGGTCAGCTCGCAGCTCCTGCTCCTTCAGCTGCTCCTCGAGAGCATTTGCTCTGCAGAGAAGAGAGGATTCATTATTCACGAACGCTATCCCCACGGCACGGTGCCGTTCCAAGGAGGGATCGGACTCTCTTCCCAGCCTTTCTCCCACCCCACAACAGTGCTAGCAGAAGCAGACTGCAAAATGCAAAGATCAAGTTTTCAAAGGAAGGTACATCCATAAGAGTTTCAAGCAGCAGGTGTACGAGGGCTTCACTTTGCTCCAGTAGAGGCAGCAGGAAAGCATCACAGGCTGTGAAATCCTTAAGGACCCTAATGCTGATGGAACATGACATTTAAATAAAATAAAGGTAAATGGCAGATACTGCTACTGTCTCCTCCTATTTGTAAGGCTCCAGACTGCATGAAAACCCATTTTAAAGGAGAGGCCAACAAGGATAAGGGCAAGGGGAAGCACAGCAATTATCTCGTAACATGCACCCCAGTCGGTTGCAGTCACAGCACCATCCAGAATAAACTACTTAATCTGAAACTGGTCCCTTAATCCTCCTGTTTTTCACACTTTAATGTCCCTAACCAAAACTAAGGGAACTGCAAGTCCAACTTCTGTGTGCCAGCATCAACAGCAATCTCAGGGCAGTCCTGAGACTGCCACTCAATTCAGGCAGTGGTCCTGTGTGCTCAGGCAGGGCAGATGTATTTGACAGCACGTCTACCTGCACTCGAAAGCAGGCAGAGGCAGCCCAAGCTGGCTGCCCCGTTTACGGCTGCTGGCTGTAAAAGCACCCATCTACCCAACAAGGGAACCCCAGCAGCAGCCAGAGAGCTGAAGTCTGCTAGGAGACTGACGTGCTGTAGCTTATGCAACCACTTTGCACGGGCAGGCAGGGAAGCCTTTTGCCAGATGGACTCGTTCTTCATCGAGCAACAAGTAAACTAAGGGCTTTATTTGATTAAAAGCCAGCTGACACTTCTGGGCCAAGCTACTAAAGTGAAAACATTCCTCTCGCTGCAAAGTTTATCGGGGCTTAGAGAAACCTTTGTTTGAATCACACAGTTCCATGACAATTATTACTTAACAGTCTTACAGCTCTATAGATAAACTCCTGCTGGCTTTATCTGCAGAGTGTAAATACAAGGCTGGAAAAGAGAAGCCTGTCAGATTAATAAGGACAGTGATCTTCCAACGGGATCCAAAGGGCTATACCCCAGGCAGGTTCTGAAAGCAACAGGATCAAGCTCGGCTGTGGGGAGGGCAGAGCAGAGATACATAGTACAGACCCTGCTGCATCTCCCATCCAGACCTGTTGAATAAAACAGGGGCCAGAGGAGGAAGAGCGCATTTCCCTTCCCAAACAGGGATGCTCCGTTTCCCAAGAATTGTGAAACCTTCTGCGCTCCTCTGAGCCAACCCCTAGAGCACCAGTGAGCTTAGAGAGGGGAAGGATTTGGAGGCATATATTAAAAAGCTATTAAAACAGAGCTAAAAGGCATGAAAAAGCACTACAATAGCTGCATACAGCTGAATAGAAGATTTCAGAGGAGTGGCGTGCAAGCTGGCGTTTTTACCAGGAGGCGGGCAATTTGTACCTGCAGAGCTGCAGGCAATTTCCGGAGCTCCTGGGAATTTGCCAGTGACCCAGAAAGCCTTGTGCAGGATGCCGCGATCCCACACAAGAGGCCCTCTTGCAGAGGAGACGGCCTGAATGCCTGCCGGATTTCACCGCAGCCACCCTCTGCCAGGGAAGGATCGGAACAGCAGAGGCAGATCTGTGAAGCTTTCATGCTATTCTCTGCCCGACTCTCTCCTTTCCCCACATGCTCAGGTGGCTTCTGAGAACAGACCCCTCCTGCGCGCAAGTGGCCACCCCAAGGCCGGCACGGGGAAGGCCCAGGGCACCGTGGCACATGGGTGCAGGGGGAGGTAAGACATCTTAGATGTCGCTAAGCTGCATTTTGAACGGCCCAGCGAGGACCCGCTCTGCTCGCGCGGCACGAGCTGGGCTCCCATACCTGTGCACAAGCTGCAGGTTTTCCTGCTTCAGTCGGCTGTGCTGTTCGCCGTTGGCAGCTGTGTCCTTCTCCAGCTCAGTCACCCTCTTCTCCAAGAAGACAACCTGTGCAACAGCAGAGGGGAGGTTCAGGTGCTTAAACCTGTTGGCAAAGAGGTACCCAGTGCCAAAGCAATTCCCCTGCCTCCGGCGCCCCACGCAGGTTTGTCCTGCTTGCTTTGCAGTTCCTTCACAACCAGCTTCCTTTGACCCTGTCAATCTCACATAACTCGCAGTGTTTTCTGCGTCCCACTTTGCACCATGCAAGCCATCCCTTGCTACAGGAACGGTTGCTGGAGCCAACCTCACTCCTGCGCAAGCTATTTGAAAATGGGCAACTGCCACTGGAAGCAGGTAGCCACTCCTTCATTTAAGGAAAATCCCTTTACACTCTAGTTCTTGAATTTTTGGTGTCTCCCAAGTGCCAGTACACAGCCAAATGCTCCACTCTTTCCTTTGCTCAGGAACTTCACGGCAAGGTACTGCAGGAAAGTCTGGAGGGAAAGATCCCAGCTAAATCATCAGAGCTCCGCTGAGTTCAAGTGCAACAGTGAGGATTTCCACGAGCTGGGAATAACTATCCCAGTACTTTTTTAAAGACATAACAAAGATTCTGGATTCAAAGAGATATGTAAATAAAACATGTACTAGGAAACCATGCTAGTTTGTGGGAAAGGATCAGAGATTAGTATTTCCTATCTGTAGCTGCACGTGTTTTATTTCAGTTGTTCTTGCATTTTCAGTCACTTTCCTGCAGTGCTGCACACTGCAGAAGAGCAAAGGGGGCCAGGAGTGCCACTATATTTCACATCCAAGCTGGAAGTGCATGTGTGCACGTTGTGGGGAACCCTAAATGAAAAGGGTACGTGGTCCCAAAATCTAATTTGTACTGAGAAAGGAACAGCAGCAATGACAAGAGACAACTAGAAGCATGTTTGCAAAACCCAAACCACAGAATTCCCGTCACTTCAGCGGGAAGGGTAAATTACATTCAAGTGTATTTAGAAGAAAACAAAACAAAAAAAACAAAAAACCCACCACGCACTTAAACACACAGAGACCAACCCCAAAGACATAAAGTCTTTACTGGAACTACCGTACGCGCAGTGTCCAGAGACAGATACCTGGAGGCTCTGTTCAGGCATGTTAGGTTTAGAGCGTTAGGTTTCTATCCAATGTTCTGGCTCGGAAAAAGGTTGATTTTTTTTTTCTTAAAAGGTTTTCTATGCATTATAATTATACCAGCGTGCAGTCAAACATATGTGTCTTCTCTTCCGCACCTCTGTTCCATGCAGTTCTCTATTCATGATTATAGATTTAAAAAGCCATTTTGAAAGAGTTTCATGACTGCAGCAAATGTTTACACAAGTCACAATTCACCTCATCTTTAACTTTTCGACTTTTCCTTAGCTATTTTTAGCTAGTGGTGATTGAACAAAAGCTTTCTTGTCCTCCTGCCCAGCTCACAGCTTGCCCTATAATCCTTTGCTCATAACTCCCCTGTAAAACTGAACAGGAACAGCACACAGGCAGCTTTATATCCTCATGGCAGGATGAGCAGTAGCAAGAGACAACCAAGGAAAGGAAAGGAAGACTTTGTTTCAAATCAGATGACTTCGCTCATCTCAGAGAAGCGGAATTTGACAACAATTTATTACGAGATGCAAAGCAGAAGTGAAAATAGTATTCTTTCAGTGTTGCTCTGGAAACAGCCACACCTTTTTTCTCCAGGCACACGTTGGTGGCACCTCAATGGCTTTGGCCGTGATTAGGACTCTTCCTTCTCTGCTCCCTGCCATAACAGAGACACCACCCAGCACAGGCACCACTCAGAAGTTGGAGGGGAATCAATGTCAAGCTACAGCACAGGGTCATTGGCCAGCTGGGCAGCGAACCCTCACTCCCAGTGAGAAGACACCAATTAGACTCCCCCACCCGCCACAGTTAACTCCACAATTCAACTCAGAGGGCTCTCATTTTCCATCCCCCTTCAATTCAGAGGGCTTCATATATCTCACCAGCACTGATCCACCCTGTGTCAGCTGTGCAGTAAGAGAAGCTTTAATACAGCTCTTGCCTGGGGATCTCAAGGTATTGCAAGCCATGAACTACATGCTCCAGAACAGTATGGACACCGTCACGCTTACCTTGTCTGTGATGTCCTCTTCTGTACAGTCCAGAGTATCCCGGTAAGACTCCTCCATCACACCCACAGACAGCGTGCCTGTCTGATGCAGCTGTCTATAACAGAGACAAACCACCCCAACCCACAGCAACACAAACATTAGGGAGAGCATTGCAGAACACAGTGATTTAAGATGACAATTACTATCACAGAGTACGATCCTCTCCTGCCTCCTCTTCCAATGAGATTTGATAGCACCGCTCTTTCTTGGGCTACAACTTTCATAAGCAAAGGAACCCGGAGGTTTGGCCCCTCACAACGCAATGGTCCTTTTCATTAAGCCAGGCTCCAACAGGTAAAGTTACCACCTCAGGGCTCCTGGACCACAGGACTGAATCGGTGGCTGCCTACTAGCTGAATGAACTTGCCCAGCAAGCAAAACACAGAAGCAGGCAAGTACTGTTGGGACTTCATGCTATGATCGCTTGTTCTTGCTCTTTGGAATAAGAAAAGATAAGAGCTCACTCTCTCCGCTCCCTTTCTTTACTAAGAACTTACTAAGGCTGTGTTATCCAGCAAAGGACAAAAGGACTCTGCTCTAGACACCAATAACGCTAAAAAAAAGAACCAGGGGCAGGGGGTGCAAGGGGAAGAGGGAAGCGAAAAAACCCTGAACTTGTTGTGAAATACCCCAACCCACCTCCCACCACCAGCTGCAAAAGCTGAGAACAAGCTAATGATTAGCAAGGGCTTGCAACATCCCTGCCCACATGGCTTTGTTTTGATCCAAAGGACACAGCTCAGTGCTCTGTGGAGCGCTTCATCAGCTCTTAATTCTCATATTATCATTGAAGATAAGCTTCATCTTTGCATGGCAAATGAAGTGACCATTGCTACAGTGAGTGGTTATTATATTCCAGCTCTGTGAACTTTAGATAGATGCTGCCTGGAGAAAAATCTAGTTTCCAATACTAGCCAGTGACTTCAGTAGCGTGGCTTACACCACAGTCTGTGCTCTCGAGCGCTTGGATGAACAGCCTGCTGAGGATCAGTGGCATTTTTTCTCGCAAGGGGAAACACATATCTGAGGACTGCCAGCAACCGGTTCAACTCATTCAAGTTTCGTGACGAAGATGGGTCTGTCTTAGGCCAACTGTGCTCACCAGTTCAGTTAAACCTCTCCCCTCCCTGGGAGGGAAGATATTGCAGATGAATCTTGCCCTGTTCTGGCATCCCTATCACACGGGGAAGCGATCTAGAGAACTACAGAGGTCCCTTCTACCCTAAATTATCCTATGAATATATTCATATATTCATTCATATATTCTGTTCCTCTGTATTCCTCCTGCACAATGTGCTGATGCAAACACTCATGAAGCATAATTGGCATTAACCAAAGAGACCACAGCTGGGGTACCAGGTTTATTTTGCATCCTTACCTTGAGTATATATTTAGGGTTTAAAGGCTCGGGAACAATTACCATTCTAGGCCATACCAAGAACAATAAGGCCTAAGCAGCTGAGGGTTTTTGGCAAAAGTAGAACACTGATAACAAAAGTTAGGGAAGAGCCCTTACCAAAGTCGAGTCAAGTTCTTAAAAGCAAACATTTGGTATTATTCCCTAATTACAGTATCTGCAAAGACTGTTCTTTTGGCTGATCGTGAAGATCTGGCTCTACTCTGTAGCAAAACCTTGTTACCTTTGTCACTGTCACAAACCAAATTTGACTGCTCCCAAATTAACTGACATTTGCCCACAAGTCCCAGGGAAAATCAAATACATAACCCTTTTACTGCAGCTTGACCCATGAAACTGTAGCCCAGCGGGATTTCTGGCCGAGACATTTCTCGGCACAGAACCAGCTCATACAGCGAACGTACTACTCGTAGCCCTCGCAAGCTGTTGGGTTACCTGAACTGGCATTCATTAAAGGCAGCGGCTCCCAAGCCAGAAGGGCAGAAAGGAGGCTGTATGCAAAACCAGAAAGCGGTAACAGAAGCTGTATGTAAATTCTAACTCCCTGAATTAGAGTCGCCAGAGAGTGGGAGCCAAGTGGAATCCCTGAAGTCAATCTCCGCTGCGAAAGCAGCATCCTAATTCTTAATCTGATCCTTAAATACTGACAACTGACCCGTAAGTGCTTTGAGTGCTATGTGGAAACACAACGCAGGACATAGCTTCTTGGGGCTTTCCTCATTCACCTGCCTTGCTGCCACAGGCGGTTTGAGAAGCCTCAGCCATGGAAAGGGCAGTGCTGCTAGGGCAGCAGCCTGCAAATGAAGAGGGACAAGGCCCAATCCCCCATGGAGAGGGCAGTTTTATTCCCAGAAGTTTAACTGAAATCCTCCCCAAATTTGCTGTGCCAGAGAAGCAGCTACATCCAGTCAGAATGAACCACCTGTCCCTGGACATGACTATGCTTCCTGCGGAGCATACAAGGAAAAACCAGCAGCATCTCCCAGAACAGGCAGATGGACCTTGGCAGAGCTACTCACTGCAGGAGCTCCTGCACACAGAAACTTGCTACTTGTGAGCTTCAGAGGAAATGGACTTTTAAATGCAAGAAACTAAGAGTAAGAGGCCAGCTTGATTCTAAGTGAAAAGTCCTCAGTTGTCTTCATCTGTGGACAACTCCTGCTCCACCAAGTGCCTTAGCAAGGGGGCAATAAAGCTCAAGCAATATGAAGGCAAAGGACAAAAGCTAGTCCTAAAACAGGAAGCCTAGAAACAGGCTGCTCCATTCAACCTTCTTTCCCGCTTGTGCTTTTAACAAAGATCTTGAAAGTGAGAGGACCAGAACTAGGAAATTCAATACAAGACCCACTTCCTTTCCAGGATGGGAAATTGTGCCAAGGGAGACTTGCTGACCACAGGAAAAATTAAAAAGGGAAAGGTGAGAGAATAGTTGGAGGGAGGTTTAAAGAACCTGCTCAGTTTAGTGCAGAAGCTCAGCTGTCCTTGTGCACGACTTGCAGGGACCGAAGGGAGTGCTGGGGTCGGGGTGGGGGAGCTTTCCTGGACCTTGCTCCAGAGATTGACTGAGCTGCCAAAGCGAGAGAGCACACACGCTTCTGGAGGGAGCGCGGCTACGCCAAGTGCTATTCAAGAGAGCTGCCTATTTCTCCGAAACACTCCTCCCCAGCTTGGCAACAAGCAGAGAGAAAGCCGGAGAACTCGGAAGACAGCAGCCATCGCGAGCAGGGCAGAAGAGGTGGGCTGGGCAGCTACTATAAGCCTCAACATATTCCTAAAGCCCAATGCCAAGAGAACGAGGAGGGATCGCGAGGGCAGGAAAGAAAAGATGGACACCAGGTTTCATCAAGACACCGTGGACCCTCTACCCCAGTGACTCGGAGCCAACACAAGGTTCCCCCCCGGAACTCTTAAAAGCCCCTGCCTGATGCCGAAACACAGCGAGGCGCTGGGGAGCACTGCGCAGAGCTCAGCGAAGCAAACCGCAGCCCAGGCAGCTGGCTTAGAGAGCTGGCGGTATTGGGGTGCTAGAAGAATCCCTCCGACTGGTAGCACTGACCAGTCCAGCCCTTTAGAGTCTCCAAAGCTTTACCGCCGCAACACCGGAGAGGAGAGAGCCCAGCAAGGGCATCCGAGAGGGACGGGCTCGTTGAGTGGCCCCCTCCCCGCTCCACATGCCCCCTGCTAGGGTGCGTGCAGGATAGAGGGGAAGAAGCACCCCTCGGTTTGTTCCAAAAGAAATCAAGTTGAAGCCAGCCTCCAGCAGCAAGCACAAATGAGAAATCTCCTTTTAAAAGAAGTCTGTTAGGAAATACATCCGACTTAAACCCTGCTTTTCCCCGGGAGCATGCGACGTGTCCAGAAGTAAAACACCGTGAAGCTATTCCGATAGCCTTCCGCAGGCCTGGCAGCTCACACAGGCACATTTCTCAGCAAAGCAGTAACACAAATGTGAGCTTACCTTGCTACCTTCTTGCTTGAGAGTCTCTTATTTGGACTGTGAAGTGAACCAAAAAAACAGGAAAGAGTTAGGAAAACAGACAGTGAAGAGCAAGGGAAACAGGAAACTGAGAACACTATGGGGCACATCCTTTGCTATCACAGCACAGTGCACACACACACAACATGCACGGCCAGCACAGCTGAAGCAATCCACATTAAAAAGCAGGTGATGAAACTGCTCACATATTTAAAAATGTTTTGATAACGAACTGAATAAAATAACGCTGCAGAAATCTCACCAACTCCAGCAATGGTTTCCTCTCGCGACTGGCTGATTCCAGTCCCGAAAGCTGATCCCCAAGGAGAGTGCTAATAATAGACGTGGGTTTGGTGGGCTTCAGCCCAGTTCCACGGTGACTGCAGCCTGAACTGCTCGCGATGCACCTGACAGCTCTGCACAGGGAACCCAGCTTCAGCACTCTCCAAACCCTCCCTTCCCTGCTGCCCTTTGAGGAGGGTCCCTTCGCAGGTGCTGTTGGGAATGATTTACTTCCCGCTCCCCATCTCAATCAGTATTTCCCTTGGTTTGCATGCTGCCTGCTTTGCACTTGTCCCAGATTATTCTCACTGAACCATATTTGGCTCTGGATCACCAGAGAACGGCTGGTTGCTCGTAACTCAAAGATTTTAGGGGCCGTCGATCTGTGTCTCTTTCTGGATTTGGAGCAAGGTCACCCTTATCGTTACCAGAGATAGGCGTAAGCTCTCTTCTGCACAGATTACTGACCGAGATCATGCCTCTGTATATGACCTAGCTAGCTATTACTGAACCACAAAGGTTACGGTTTAGCTAACACTTGATATGACACGTGGCACGAACAGTGAAGGTCGGCATTATCCTGCCCCTACGACTCAGCTATCAGCAAGGAGGGACAGCAGTGGCTGCAGGTTTCCTCCGCTGGGAAACGGGCCTTATTCAGAAACGTCTGCTCGCAAGATGCTCCTTCTAGTCACTCCAAAGCAAGCTGTGACTGACGCGTGTCAGTCTCATGCCTCAACTTCTACCCAAGCACGCACTACTGTCAAGTAGATGCCACTTGGAGCCACTATTGATACAATACCATCACTAAATTACAACAGCAAACAGAAAACAAGCCCAAGTCAAGAAGCGGTAATCACGTTGCTGGATTCTTAGCTCAGTAAAAGAAAAAAATAAAAGAAAAGACTGCACTCTCACATCACTCAGAGACCACCTGAGAGTTCGTTTCTGACTACAGAAATGCAACAGTTACATGAGTTCTTAGAAGGAGGAATTAAAAATAGCTCAGGATAAGTTTCTTTAAAGAACAGCTCCTGGGAAACAATGCCCGGCCACAGATTGTTGTCAAGGTTACTAGTCCTTGTGTCAAAAGTGCATCCTCAAAACTGAGACTTCTAAGGAGGGCAGGAATCCCTGTTGGCCAGGCTTCAAGGACGCTCCGCGTACTCCTTCCCAGGGAGGAAGGTCGGGCCCCTGTTTTTGCCAGCAATTGTAAGAAGTCACGTATGTCCTTAGTACCAGAGAGGAAAAATAAGTTGTTTTTATCTGCAACTTATCAGAAACCAGTGCCGCACCTTCAGATGCATCTCACGAGAGGGTGCAACATGTAGCCTCTGGTTCAAGCTCGCCATAACCAAATATACTTTCACAAAACTGCTTCCTCCCAGATTCCCTGCCGAGTCCTTCCCCGCTTTCCTGCGGAGCGGGCTCGGGGCAGCTGTTGCCCCATGCCAGACCAGGGCCAGGCTTCAGTCCGACTTCGGGAGTTTGCAGCTCAGCACCAGCTCCCTTGAGGGTTTCCAGCACCGGAAAGAGGCACGCTTACCAGAGCTTGGGCCATTGCTCCTCCCTTGTCTTCTCACTTTCTTCCATGCACAAAGCACTGATAACATAAGTCAAAGCTTTTAAGAGTGAGGATGTTACATGGTGGCAACTTGGGCTCTGGTGAGCCCACAACTGCTAGTATGCTGTGGAGTGGTTGTCTCCAGGATTCACCCCCAGAGCTTGGCAGCTTCCCAGGCCTGATGCAAGGCTGCTTTGTCCAGGTTTTGGTCCCATTTCTGCTGCTCTCTTAGCCGGCGGTCTAGGACTTCTGTCCCCTGCGTTGTGGACTTCACGTTGCTAGTGATGTTGGCAGCAAACAATAGATCCTGTCACGTCCTGAGTGCTGCTTCGGTACAGGGTACCTCTCATCTGCTTTCAGTGCAGAAAATGCAGGAAATTCAACTTCCATCAGGTCAGTTATGGGTGCCACTTACCCACTGGCTCCTGGTTTGCAGCTCTTCCCTGGTTTTGCACAAACCGATGGGCTATGCTGGAGGACTAGGCACTCAGTCCAAAACAATCTGTTTTTGGCAGTCCTACCTCTTTACGTTCTTGAGGCTTCCACTTTTCATCAGCTCCTTTCACCACTGTTCCCACTCATCCTGTGCAATATGAAGAGCAGCAAGCTGTCATTAGCCTCACTTACCATCTTCCTCCAAAATATGGCTGGCCCAACTCCTGCTGGGCCAGTAGCCCTTCTCCTTGCTGCTCTCACTGGGATGCAGCTTGCGCGCTGGATAGCCCTCATTCTGGTGAGCTCAGAGCTTGACATGGCTCCTGCAATCCCCATTTCACCTCTTCATGTCTGAGAGGAGCTCCTGGAAATTTGTAGTCTTCCCTCTTGCTGGGCCAGAGGCTCGCATCAAGATAGATAACCCTTCCTGGGAAAAGGTTGTGTGTTTCACTCTTTATCAATCTTTCAGATACCCTCTATTTCCTCTCTGGAGGGAGCATTCCCAAGCTGTGGACGTTTTTCAGCCACATCTGCTGCGTCTCTTGTCCACAACCACAAAGGCTTTTCCCAGCTCCAGAGAACTTCTGTAAGCAAAACTCCCAATGGCATCACTGTGCTCAGGCCAAGCTTGGCACCTCGCTTCTGTCAGATGCCAAATCTGCATGGGAAAACGGCGGCTTAAACAACAAGCTGAGAGTAAAGTAAGTATTACTCAAGAGAGACACCTCCTGCAAGTGTCTTCTTTTTGTTGGTTTAGTCTTCAGATCAAGTAGAACTGTGGAGCAAGAAGCTGAAATCTAGGTCATGGCAGCAAGACAGGCAGAGTCAGCAATACATCATGACCATACAGTCAACAATACACACTAAAGCTGTTTTGAGATAGGTCCCAGAGGCTTCTGCATTTTAAGAGGTACTTATGTGACTTCAAAACACTAGTTACACTTGCACCAAGCCCAGGTTTCCTCTTAGCAATTTAGAAAGTTAGATAAGCTAACATACTTTGCAGGAACAACAGCAAATTTGCACATAGGAAATCCCGAACACAGATGGAAGAAACACATCTACTTGCCATAAGCCCAAAGGGCACATGTTAAATGCGAAACAGCCTGGTTTGCACCAAATAGTGACACAGATCTCCCTGGAGCAAAGGTAGGGAAGAAACAGCTCCTCCAAGAAGTCAAAACCTTTGGCCTTCCCATAGACACACCATGGGATTGGGAAGTCTCCTCTGGTAATCCCATCCTTGACGAGGAGGGCTCAGGGGGTGTTACTTCAGCTGTGAATGTAGATTCGGTGGAGAAAGTCTGGGACAGAGTGGGGCTGTTGGCACGCTCAGGGAAGTCCCGCATTATCCTCGTTATTTGTATAACCTGAGCTACTAATCTTCAAGGCCTCCCTTAGAGGCTCATAACAAAGGCAAACATTCGTCTGAGAAAGAAAGAGACAGAGAAGCACTTTTTTCCACAAACAAGCCTTAAGGGCAAGTTCCTATTTGTCTTCCAGCTCCATTTCTGTAGCTATAGCACAGGAGAATTCTCATTTCATGCTGTCCTATACAAGACAGATATAGACCAAAAACTGAGCTTGAAAGAGCACAGTGGATGCAAGAAGAATGTTCATCACTAACATTAGTCCTGCTACCCTTCTACCCAGCAGATTGCAAACAGGTTAGAAGAGACGAATAGAAATCCCTCTGCACTTGTGAAATCAGCAAGTCAAACTGCTGGCTGGTAGAGCTCAAAGTTATATTTTAAAAGTCCACTATAAAGTTGCTATGCAAAGGCCCCAGCATTTACCAGTATAGCTACACTGGTAGATATATAGGCAGACAGGCACCTAATTAAGCCAGCTGAAATGAGTTTTTTACTGCTGCAACTTTGAGTGTCTACAGAAAAGATCCCAAGTCCTAGAGAGCAAGCTGATGTTTCCAAGTTACTGCTGCAGTGGGAGGAAAGGCTGCACCTGCCCTTCTGATCTGAATCAGCAACTCAGGTATGCTTCTCCGTTGTTTATGGCCAGCCAAAAGACCAGGTACACATTTCCTTGGTGACAGAAATACTGTACACGACCAGCTTAAGACTTCAAATTCTGTCTTAAGGACTCCATTACTCAGAGCGTGGTGAAGTGCTGCATTCACATAACACTCAACAGGACATGCAAAGAGATTGATTAGAGCAGAACGAGAGATTCCCATTGTCTGTTAGCTTCCACGGTTTGGATTAAATGAAACTTCTGCCTGCCCTCCATAATGTTATTGTGGACTTTACCACCTGGAGAGGCTCACTCAGTGCAGTGAAACTCATCCCCTTTCACAAAGGGTAACCAAGCAACGCGGCGGCCAAGGAAAGCTCAGCCAGACAATGAGAGCCTTCCCTTCTCAAGCATATCATTCCAGACGCTCAGATTGCCAGGCACAAGATCAATTACCTATTCATTTCAAGATCATTCAGGCGAGCAGAAAGATCCTCAAGGCGGTTGATTTGTTTGTGGCACTGGCTACAGTAAAACTCAAATGCTTCATCTGCGATAATGCTGTGCAGTTTCGCAGCGAGCGGATTGGTGCTAGAGAAATCACAAGTGTCAGTTTAACAGGACAGAACAGACTAACCTGATTTTGTCTGTGGCTTCCACAAGCTAAGTGCACATTCAAAAGGGAGGATCTCCGGGCAGGGGAGCTTTTTGTACAACATGCAAGACTTGCAATTAAAAATTTCAGGGTAGATCGGGTTACCTTCCTGCTCAAACATCAATGAACTTTTAGAAGCACGACACCAGTCAATATGGAGCTGTTATAAGTTAGCCGGACTGTCATTACTCCCTTCCCACGAAAGTTGCGGAGATTTGCAACTGAATGAATTTTTTTGCAGCTGATGAATTTGGCCCATGTATCCAGATCCATGGGCCAGCCTGCCCTTGTGGAACATCCTCCGAGAGCCCCGGGGACATTAGGTTTGTGCAAAGCATACATCTATGTACCTACAATGTTTACTAGCTGTCATTTTCCAAGCAACCTGTCTCAAGTGGCCCAAGGGCTTTTCCCGGTTCGCACTGTCAAATGCAGACTGAATTGACACACTGCTGCTCACAGCAGAGAGTTTGGGAGCCAAATGTCTTTGGTCAGTCACACCGTTTACCAGTGGGAATGTTTTAAAAGTAGAGCAGTTGTGTTGCCATAGTGCTGCTGCTTGTAATGCACACCAGAGAATCAGATTTTCATTTCAAAGAGCTGCTCTTTGAAGCTGAACTCATCAAAAGGTGGGTAATATTCAACTTCTGTCATTTCTTTTACAAAGTGAAGCACATGGACTCTCACAAGGCAACTCAGCCCTGCTGTTATGGAAGAGAGAGACTAAAGTTCATAGCTTGGTAGGGGTACATGAAGTTTTACAGGACTTAAATTGCCTTACTAATTAGTATGTCCTATCGGCTTTCCAGTTTCAGCTGCTCACATGGAAAGCAAGCTGCTCAGGCAGTCATGGGCACTTGGCAAACTCAGGAGCAGTTTTCCCCAACCAGCACAACTTGGTCAATTATTTGGTCAAGAGATACTGAACAGCAAAGAGTTTCTATTCCTTAGGGCCAAACATATGCCACAAATCCTTTCTGCTGGGAAACACGCTTCTGGAAGCCACAGACTTTAATCAAAGTAAGGTTAATAGTGAAAAAATAAAGCAGTTCGATAAGATAGACAGGCAAAGGTGTGAGCAGACACAAACAAGCTTAAAACCAAAAGGCACCTGAAAGGGCTGGCCAACCCCATGATACAGATCCACACTGGCAAGGCCTGGTCCCGGGAGAGACTGGGCGCCTATGACACCCATGGGACCCCCAGGAGGGATGTCCAAGCTCAGCACCTTTGCATTACCCCTCCCCCGGCTTTACTAGGGAGGGTCAGCAGCCCAGCCACCCCTGGGGCAGGCCCGTGAGTTTGTGCCGTTCTGTACAGTATTTCCTAGCCCCCTTACAGGTAAACAGATGTTATTAAATACTGAATTCCTCATCTCTTTCCATGCTTGGGAAAAATTTGAAAAACCCTCTAGGGTAGGTTTGATCTCAGGAAAATCGTTATCCACCAGCAGTCACTTCAGTTGCTCAGGTTTGACACAGGGAAAGGGTTGACAGCAGCTTTGTGGTGTCCGGAAGAAGGAACATGCCTTTTTCTGGGGTCTGACTCCAGATTTAGCTTCATGTGAGCCCCGTTTAGTGAGTACTCCTCACTGCAGCTAAGTCCATCATACTCCCAGAAGGCAGAAACAGTTTGCTTGAGTGGGTGCATCGCTATGAGATGTGCAAACTCTCATCTAACAAGCAGTAACAAAGGCAGGAAAAGTCATTAGTCAAGAAGCGCATAAGAGAATCCACAGGCCAAACTCAACTTTTCAAGTGCATACAAGTATACTCGGCCGCTGGCCGTGTTGGCTGTTTGCCAGTTGAGCAGCGGAAAACTTAACCGTGCTATGCCACAGGGCATCCCCCCATACCACTTGTGGCAAACTGCTATACTCCACACTGTATGTGATCGTGCTGCCTCCTTCCTCCATCCCATGGAGTAAGGTTGGTCTCCTACAGTTCATTCAGTGCTGACAAGCAGGCAGTGTGTTGACAGCTGAAGACGGGTACGTGCGAGGAGCTTTTACTTGCATTTGCCATTCATTTCTCACCTAGTGTTGCAGAGACGCTCCTCTGTGAGTGTATGAACATACCAAGGAAGAGTTGTAAACCAAGAGGAGGAATCACAAACGTACATCCAAGGACTAAATAGGAAGATGCAGTACCCCATAGTGCTCCCTTAAGGTTCCTGGTTTTCATATCAGTCCTCTCATGAAGATCTTCTGGAGCTGCAGCAGGAAACTTTGTTGACCTTCTTCCCATGTAGATGTGGAAGCGGTGTTCGCCGATATGACCATTTACAAGTGAAACTGTTCCTTGTATTCAGACCTCAGCAAAAAAGAATTCAGTCTAAACCACTGATTTTCTGTGGTTCTTCACAATGTTGCACTATGTTTAAATGCACGGGGGAGGCAGGGCTCTGTTCAGAAAAACACACGTTCTTGGGAGAAATATCAGCTAAGGAACTTTAAGTCCGCTAAGATAGTCCAAGGTAAGGACTGGACGCGAAAGGCAGGAGGAAATTCTCTACCTCAAACGGAACAACTTTCTTTACTCTCAAGGTTTTGCAGGGCTTTCTCTGCAGTCTGCCTTCCCAGCAAGCCCCAGCGGTAAGGTCTTGGCACATCCATCAAGAATATATGAGGAGATATGCAAAAGTCATTAGCTCTCAAGTCAGAGAAATGCAGAGAGCTACTGCAAATGTTACTAGGGTGGTGCTACCTCACCCCAGGCCTGAGAGGGAAACAGCATCCAGTACAGTTGCAATCCGTCTTTTAGCAAGTGTAGAGCCACACGTTGAGTAAGCCTCTTCCAACAGAGCAAAGAGGCTGCAGAGCACAAGCTTATGGAGAAGACAGAGTGGAACAGGGAAGAGTGCACCCTGGCAGAGCAGAATTTGTTTCAAAACTGTGAGTGTATGTAACTAGGGAGCTCAGAACTGATACTAAATACAAAGTTTAGCTGATTACAAAGCTATTTAGCTGATTATTTTGTTGCCAGGAGCCTTCCGGACTAGGCTGGAGGCCCACACTTAAGAAGCAACTCCAAACAAACATCAAGAAAGGTTTTTATCTGAGAGTACTTCCCAGCACGGCAACTGTCTCCAGCATCCCTTAAAATTCCCTACAGTCTGACGGGAGGACAAGTATATATGAGTGAAGTGTCCCTTCACATTGGGAGCTGGAGCACTGGTTTTCTGAGGCAATGAGTTAGTTATGCTTTACTGCAATAACAGCAACAGTTTTCTATTGCAGGTTTAATTAAGATCTTCAAAATTGCTACCCCACCAGGAAAAAAGAAAGATAATCCTGACCTGTGGGGCAAAACACATGGGCATGGATTTCACAACAGTTCTTCTCGGCTCTGTCAAACCAGAACTGCCAGAGTTCTGCAAAGAGCTTTAGGAATCTGCAAAAAAAAAGGTAGACAGCAAAAAAAAAAAAAAAAAAATTACGGCAGGTTTATAGTGCCGTAGAAAGTCCCGACCACGTTCCTTCCGTAGCGCTGCTGTAGGCGGTATCATCCTAAAGGAAAAAAAGTATGTTCTTCTCTTCCCCAGCATAAGCATGTGGCTGTCAGGAACCACGCCTGACACGGACACTCATTGCCTGATGGACACACGTATCCTCCATCACGTTGCCTGTCATCACGGAGACTTTTAGGGCTGCGGTAGTGAATGATCATTTCAGCTTTTACTTTTTTCCTAAAGAAGCAATGACTGGTTTGTAGTCACGCTACCTCTTCAGTCCACCCTGCACAGGCTCAAAACCAACTTTTGCAGGGTTTCAGGCCTTAATGCAAGGCCTGCAGGAAACGCTATAGCCTCCTTCCTACTCCAAGCATCCCTTCAGCCTGCCTGGAGAAGGCAGGCTGCACCAGCTTGTGCAAATCCAGCCGAGCATCATACCAAAGTCAAAAATGCAGGCTTAGGAAGAGAAAGGAAGTAGCTGTCATCCAACAGGATCAGGAATAAAGTTGTAGGCAGTTTTCTCTATCAGAAGTTCTGACAAGAGTCACAGCCCTAAGAGGAGAGGAAACACAATGTTGTCCCGGATGCACGTGAAATTCAGACTATTCTTCAACTGCTGCTGGAGACATGAGTGCCTCTGGATGGGAAGACAGGAACTGTCCAGGGAAATGAAAGATTGAGGGAGGCAGCTCTCTTCCACTTCAGAGCTGATTAACCCTTTGTATCCAAGCTTTGCCAGGAACCCCCCTCTTGCAGGCCAAGTTAGGTGCAAACCCAAAGGAAACAACTCACACACACAAACCCTAGGGTGAAGACACTAAGCAAGGGAAATCAGTCAAAACAGTGCCAATGCTGTGCTGAGCATTACCTGGGAGAGAGGAAAGAGGAGCTATTAAAGCTGCTTTCCCCATTACACAAGCTGTCCGAGAACAAATCCGCTTCATTCCCTTCTCCATAATCCTCAAAGTGCTCCTCTCCACTAATTACTGTAACGATGGAGTGGCTGAGGTCGGAGCCCAGGGGGAGGTCGTGCGGATGGGACCTGCGGGAGCAAAGAGAAAGGCGTTAACGGGTGGCCACAGCAGCAGCCTTTCCAATTGTACATGTTAAACCCTTTTCTAAAGTGACATTTACCATCAGCTGCCGTTTCAGTAGGCAGGGCAAGCTCTCCTTTGCAGTGCAACTCACCCTGTGCCTCTCACACTGAACAGGCAGCCCAGGTACCACATGAAAGTTTGCAGCAAGTTTTTCCAAACCAAACCAGTGCTTTTTCACACAAGCTCCCCTGGCAACTACAGCGTAGTATTTGGGGTAGTCAGACTGGCAGGACAACATCCAGGGTTGTTGGCAAGCCCTTGCATGGCACAGGCTCAACCAAAACCAGGGCGGAGAAAGAGCTCATCGTGTGTCGAACACACGCTAAACGTGTTTAGAGTTACACAGCCAGCCTACATGCCAGGCTCGCATTCACCGAGCACTGTGTAATCCTATCAAGAGCCCAGTACCGGGGTTTAGCACTGTAACCCCCTGGTGACACAAATCTGGCTGTTTGCGGGAGGTTGCCGTTCCCAACACCAGCACAGCCTCCTAGCAGTACAAAGGAGCCTTTTCCTCAGCTTCTTCTGGGAAAACGTCTTATGCAGTCATAACAATCTAGAACTGATGCTTTTTCATGCATTTTTGAACACTGGAGCCACAAGCCCGTACTGCATTAAGTCTAAACACCCAACACACCTGGCACAGAGTCTGAGATTTCCCTTGCTTTAGAGGGGGCACAACTGTCCTTACAGAAGTCGTCATTTTTGAAAGTACCTTTTAAAGTGAGCAGTGTTATACAAAAGAAGCTCATTACGGCAATGTGCACCCACTATCAGAAGATCTTCTTAGCCAGGATCGCAGAGTTTTTAAAATGACATTGGTAGGGTGCAGGTGCAATTTGTAAGGACCAAGCTGTGAAACAACCCTGGCTTATCCACAAGCAAGCCCATGTGCATGAGCCACATAGGTGTGTTTGGGGTGGGGGAATTAACACCATTCTCCTCTCTAACATTCAATGCTAGGAAAAGGAAAAAGTAAAACCTGCTATTTCAGGACACACCTCCACCTTCATCCATTTGTCAGGAGAGGAAAACCAGGGAGGAGGTACAACAACACTTGTTGTATTAAATCCAAAAGAGAAAAGATTACAAATAAGCCATTTACGACAAAAATCTGCAACATCTGAAGGATTTGCCCACTAACAAAAACACATCAACCCCCAAGACAAAACAGCAGCTAAGTCCTTTCCAGCCTGTGGGCATCGGCACATCTTCCTAACAGCTTGAGAAGTCCTGTTATTTCTGTAACGAGATCTGTCAGAAACTGAATCTCCCAAGCAGTGAGTCAGACACTTCACCCATCAGACCGTTTTAAGAAATATCAGAAAATTTCCCAGAAATAGAAGGGAGGGGGTGGAATTTTTAACTCAGGCAAGCAAAACCCAACCCCAAATCTCTAACTATGGGGCTCTGATTTGACAAGCACCTTATCGAAGCAGATGCGACCAGGCACGAATGGGATCCGTGAGCCAGCGATGCTTCAGGCACCCAGTACTTCACATATACCTATTGGTGGCTTTATCAGTTTCAAGATCTAGAGCCCAGCTAATCTTTACTATAAGCAGCCTAAATATCCACTAAAGCTCCTAACATTTCAGGTATGTTGAGTTTTAATAGCTGCTGAAAACCAGTGTTCAGTGTCCAAGCTTTGATTCAGTCCAGTTATGCAGGTGGGGTTTTACTCACAGACTGCTCCCTGGAAGAGCTCTGAACATTAGAGGTGCCCAACTGCTACCCTGCCAGGGGTTCGAAGGCACCAAAAACAGCCTTACAACTTCTTGGGAACAGATTTCTAGAGTCTTCAGCCTCAAGCCTTCCAACCTTTAAAGCAAAAGACCAAGTTCAAAGGAATTTCTGCCTTATTTGGCTACCTCAAACTTGCGCACCTCTAGGACGCCCAGCAGTAGACAGCATTTCAACAGAGCACCTGAAGGACTCCTGACCTTCCCAAGCCTGCCCCTACTGGGAGGGATGAGGAAAGCCTCAAAGATAACTTAATATTAAAAAATTCCCAAGCAAAGTATTTTGTACCTACAGGCGGGTGATTCCGAGGCACGTCATTTCCCCACGAGGACGAGAGCGCATTCAGGCTGCTGCGGCCCCTCCAAATACACTCCGTGCAGCCGTCTCAGAGCTCAGGAACTGATTATATGCTCCGATTTAACTGTCACCGAGCTGAATGCACTTGAGCAAAGAGAGCAGAGCCAGCTAATCTCATTTCTGCTCTAATCCAGCACCCTAAGAGCAAGCACTCTCATGTCCCTAGATGTGCTTTTAGGGTGAGAGGGAAGCCACAAAAAGCCTGTTGCTTTCTGAAAGCAAAGGGGAATATAAAGCAGAGCACCAGGCCGGGGTAATAAAGTTACTACTTCCCTTCCCTGCCTTGCTGCCTTCTTAGCATCCCTGTTTCATCCCCAAAACAGCTTTCCCAGCAACATCTAGGAAACGAGGAGGGCTCAGGAGCAGCTCTGCCAGCAATGGTTCAGATACCCACTGAACTGAGGGAAGAAGTTCTTAGTTTACACTGCTGGGCTTCAGGCAAAAGATTAAAACTGGTTATTACAAGAGGTGGCTACACATCAAAGGGTGCACACGTGTTTAGGAGAAACAAGAATATGGTGAGTTCCACTCCTGACTTGAAAATTATATGTTGCCCTTCTGGCCTCTTAAATGATAAACTAAAGACTGCAAATATTCCAGGTGTTTAAGTCATCTGAGTACTTACTTTGGAGGTTAAAGATGATAATGAGGCAACAGAAGTTCTCCCACGGCAAGTAATGATTAGCTCAAAGATATGGCCAGACCAAGCTTCAAAAAAAAAAACCTACACATGGTACAATCTAATTATTATTATTATTTCTAAAGAAAATATATTTAGGTCTTGCACGAAATTATAAATACTAAGAACAAACCGTTTTTTATCAAGATGAATTCAGCTTGCTTAACCCTCAAAGATGAGGGAAGAGAAATCCTCAGGATGCGTCTCCCTCAGTGATCTACTTGCAATGTGCTACGTTTCTTGCCCCACACTTAATTCTCCTCCTCCTCCGGACCCTTGCCCCACAGCCACCAACAGCAAGTACCACTGACCCATGCTCTGGCTCCTCGATAGGGTCCGTGAACTCCGAATGCACTGTGGAATCGATGGCACTGTCTGTTTCGACTTCGTCATGCATCTCGTGATGTACTAGTGTGCTGGTGTCTTCATCCGTGAAGGTTTCACACTCGCTGTACGTGCTCTCTGAGCCCATGTAAGCACTGTCAGTCACCTCATTTGCCTGTTATAAAACACAAGAGGAAAAAAACCCACCCCAGGAGACATTAACTACTTGGGTTCACTGCAAAGCAGGACACAACATGCATGGGCCAGTTCATTACTGCTGCATTTCATTTCTAAGTGCAGAAATCCAACCTCCTCATAACACCGTGAGCTGTAAGCTGTGTCCAGGATGCTCTTTTGTCTCCATTTACATGGAACGGCTGCCTGTGCCACGGCCAGCCAAAAACCACCTTGGCTTTGTCACGCCCTTTGGCTTCCTGACACACTTTGTCACCTGCAGACCGCGTATGCTTTGAAAGATCAGTATTTGGAAAGTAGACTGTAGAAATAAAGATATACTACATAAGGCTTAGATAGAGATTTTGTCGAGAGCAAGTATGGATTTGTCAAGTCCAGGAGAGATTACCCTCTGACCCTCAGTCAGCAGTTCTGGTCACAAATTTATTTCATCCACTCCATGTCAAGAGGACACAGTTACTAATCTGGAATCTCTACCAGGACCACCATTCAGAGCTATCATTTAGCGCTTAAAGCGCTTCTTTCTTCCTATAGTAATGTGAGGACATCATCCATCCCTCAACAGAAAAAAAATGGTTTATAAATCATTATTACAACATCTAATTTGTAAAGGCTGGGTTGCCAGCCCACGTCTTCAGAACATTTGAATGATGACATTTCAGCTGGAACAGCATCTTGGATATTTCCCACTACTTTGCTAACATCTGTTACCTTCACCAAGGCAGCACAGTCTAGAGAGGAAGCACGGGTTGTTTTTTTAAGACCCTGTACTGCGAGCTACAGAAGAGCTGAGTTTTCCTCCCTGTTTTACCACTGCCTGTGAGCCCTCAGCAAGTCATTTATCTTCAGTCTTGCCTGCTTTTCCTTACACAGGATGGAGACGGTCCTCTCTGAACACACATGGTGCCCAGAAGCGTTCAAATATCAGGAGGAGAGCTGTGGGACCTACTAGTAGAGATACTCTCCTAAAGCAACAGCTCATGGCAGTAATAAAAGCAACAATTCATTTTCCAGCCTCTATGGGATTTCCCCAGGGCACCTCAGCCTGCTCAGAATAAATCTATCCATTTCTGTCTCTGGGATCTCAATCATTCTGGGACCAGTCAATCCCAGCGCTGAGCTCCAGCTGGACGCCCGTTGCTGGAGCCGTCCTGCAGATGCAGCAGGGCGAGGACAGAGGGATAGGAGCCCTCCTGCCTAACAGCACCAGCAGAGATGTGACTCAAGGCCACAGCAACGCAAGAGTCTGTGCAAGGCCACCTCCAGCTAGAGCAAAGGAAGGTGGGCCTGGCCCATGTGCAGACAGTACATGAAGGAGTAACAAAAGGCATCCAGGTCTCCTTAGAGCTTAGCATCCTGGTAAAGGAAGGCCACCGCTTACCCACAAAAGAAAAACAAAGTTTCCTGGGACAAAGAGCCAGCAGGTAAGCACCAAAGGCCAGAGATCCTGAAGGTGACACACAAGCATGCACTGGAGAACATCTCACACGTGATACATGCTGGGATCCCCTTCCAAGGCTCTTGCAACCAACATACCAGGCACCCCTCCCAGAGGGAGGCCATTTTTTGAACAGACCTTGAAATAAAAAGACATCCATTAAAAAAGCCATTTGCTTCATCTGAAGTTCCCCCAGCTGGGTCAAACTTGCTCTATAGAGACTTCTCTCCACGCTTGAGATTTCTCAAAGTCCTGCATTACTGAAGGCCAGCAATTGAAAAGAAAACACACAGATATACTGTCTTTCAGGCAAGAGAATAAAAAATTATGTTAATAGCTGTTCATTCAAGGTAGGGTATGCAGACAGCAGGATGGAATAGTCCTGCCCATCGCTGCAGCTACTGCCTCCAGTGTAACAGCAGTTTCTAAGGAGCACACTATTTTGGCATAGCAGGAAAGCACCAGACCAGAGATGAACAAATTTCTGCCATCAGGTTGATTAGACTTAGCAAACACAGCTGTTACCAGCCTACGCTGGGACAGCTCTGCAGACGAAGCAAGGTCTGATTCTCTTCTCTTTCAGATAAAGGCTTCAAACCACCAAAGAACTGTCGCATTTTTCACCGGGGTAAACAGGCTTGAGATACAACCAAGGTCTCATGCTGTTTGACATCCAGATATCCAAGACTCAGTGGCGGGGAAAAAAAAAATCTCAATCTTACTACCAGCACGACTTACTATACACATGCTCTCCAAAAAGTATTTGGGATCATGTGCTTTACCTGCTGTATGAGGGTCCTCATCCAGACATACCCTGTTCATTTCTATGGTGCATAATTACCAGCTCTAGGTTAAGCTGCAAGGTGTGGTTACCACATACAAAGTCTTTTGCTGGCTAACGTTCTTCAGTTCCAGGTTCCTCTTGTTCTGAGGAGGACAGCTTGTGAGTTCACCCACTGTTTCTCAGCCTGCTTCAATATGTACAAGGCCAAAAGGCTAACAAGAATTTATACAAGCGCTCTGAACAGAAAGATCTCTGCCCACAGTAGGCAGGTTTGGGAAGGAGGGATGGAGGGACAGCAAATTCCCAGAATTAAAATGCATCAGTGAACTGTCGCTATTGAAGCGAGCGATTTCTACCTGCTGAGGTGCATGGGAACTGCTCAACAGTGGTTCATATTCTGCACGTACTTTCGGTAACAAAACAAATGAGTGTGGCATCTAGGGGATGGAGACTGAACAACACGCACATCAAGACCGTCTTTCTGAAGCTTTATAAGCTTTCACAGATCCACATTGACCTAGGGACATCAGCAACTCTCTCCAAGACACCACCCTGAAGTTAAACATTGTATTACTCTTTATAGGACGAGGGCCTAAAGCCACAAACAGCAGAAGAGAGGGCAGCGCATGTGAGCTCTACGCAAGTAGAGGAGACGCTGCTGCAGAGAACGGCAGTAAAGGGAGGAGGCAGCTTTCACTAGCCTTCAAAATAGAAGCAAAAGCCTACAAAAAAACCCACCTTCTTTAGAAAGTATAAACCCACCAAGACTACTTATATACCTAAAGTTAGGGACATGCTTAAGTGCTTTATTGGATTTCTGCTGTACTTCCTCGAAACACTGCTCAGGCTCTTAATGCTCAAGTAGAATGAGGACACAGATTTCAAAGCAATGGTTTCACATCTCCTGGCTCACGGAAACAGTTTCCCAGTTGCTACAGGAGAGACACGCAAGGACGGCATACTGGAGAGACTTCTTGGTGCTCCCCTATCATTGCACTCACACCAACGCCAAGCTGAGCACTGCTGCTCTCGAGCCTCCAGAGGAAGGGGCAGGCTCAGATAATTCGAGTACTTTTGCAAGCTATTTACAATGTAAGCCAAGCTTAGGAGAGGTCAGACTTCAGCATAGCCAATGTTGTGTTGCAACACTGATCCAGAACTGGTTATGCTTCCCTTTTAGGGGGGGGAACGACTTTCATCTCCAACATGCACCACGCTTCCCCAGCGCTCACGGAGCTGGTCTCGCGGTCTGCCGAGAGGTCGCGCCAGACTGGCGCGGCTCTGCTACGCAGGAAGCAATAGCAACCCGATACGGGGGAGAGTGCGGGTCCAAGAGACTACAGCGGTCGGCAGCATCTGGAGAGCTAACTGCCTGTTTCAAAGGGATTCTCCAATCCAGTGAAAACAGGCAAAAAGTAAGGGTTTAAAGCCAAACTGGAAATAACTTTGCTCACAAACTCCAAAGTAAACTCTGGTGTTTTTTCAGGCAAAAAAGCCTCCCACTGAAAACGCTTAAATTTAAGCATGCATTGAAGTGTTGTAATGAGAATAAAATAAAAACTGCTATTGCAGAAAGACCAAAACAAGATAAACCCCCCCTCCCAAAATAAGAACCAAAAAACAAGAAGCCAACCCCTGCAAAATCCCAAACTAGAAAAACACTCTCCCTCCCCCCAAAAATCCCAAAGTAAACTGATTTCAAGACACTCCTTCACAGTTATCATTGCTGGCCCTCTCAGCACAAAGTATAATCAAAGCCAAACAGCTCAGGGCATCAGAACATCCCAATGTCCTTCAGCTAAATGATTTTACCTATCAAATTATGAAGAAACATCCTGTTGACAGGAAATATCAGCAAGAACAGCTCAAATGAGGGAGCAAGTTTCCTGAGCTAAAGCAGTCACCAGAACACATTAACCATCCTGCTTCAGTCACATTGAGGACATACAGTGATTTTTTTTTTTTTTTTTCCTTTTTAAGATGACCTGTAGCACAGGTCATCTTAGCAAGTTTTCTTCATATTTAGCAAAGGAGAAATTTTTCTTTTGCTTTTAAAGCACCCCTTCCCAAGCGGCACTTGCAAAGAAGTAGAACAGGGCACTGGCACAGACGTTAGCTGCGACTTCAGTTGCAGTGTGCCATAACATAGCCAGGTAACAGGGAGAGCGAGTACCCTGGTCCCGGCGCCTCCTTAGGGAAAACATCTCCACAATGTTTCATAAAGGTTAAATTCAAAAAGGTTAAACAGTAAATGAGGTAAATGTGCTGGTTTGTAAGTGTCACTTGGCCAGCTGTGGTAGCCACTGGAAACCACGTTATAGGAAAAAAAAGGTCTTCCTTTCTCCCCTTTTCCTAGTTAACGGAGCAGACCTGAACGCTCAAGTTAGCAACACGCCATCAGGCCATCTGATCAAGTTCTCTTAAAAGTTACTCCGAGAAGCACTTGCATTTCTATCCCATAATATAAAAGGAAAACCCTATGTGCAACACCGGCATTTAGGTTGCTTTTGCATGCACGTGATACCCTGCTCCTCCCTCAGACTGAACATATATTCTGAACTATACATTAGCATGTTGGACCTAGATTATTCTAATATTAGCCTCGAAGAAATTTGAGATGTAAGAGCCCCACTAAAATTAAACCTACACGGTGGTCATTGAGTTATGGGGCAGTTGAAACTTTAAACAAAGTCCTGAGCACAAGCATGGAGAACTTTGCTTTATGCTTCGTTACAGATTAAATAACTAAACCTCAGAA